AGGGTGGGGGGCAGGGTGGGGTCAGGGCCATCTCCCACGAAGTCTGTGCCTGTGAGACGCAGGGATGGATTGCTTTGGCCTGCCTGGCACCCCTCTACCTGAGGGCCTGTTGATCGTCCTCTCATGCCCATGAGTCTGGCAGGGGTGCCAGGGCAGGTTGGTCTCTCCAGGGCTTGGATTATGTTATCTGTGCTTCCTCTTCTCTGGTCATGGTCCCCAACCTCTCTTGGGTTCCCCAGCCAGGGAGGAGTCTGTGGTATTTTCCATATCATGTGTTGTGACCAGGGTCACATATTTTTTTATTGTGGTAAAATGCACATGATGGAAAATTTATTTATTTGATTGTTTGTTTGTTTTTAGTCAGAGTCTCACTCTGTTGCCTGGGCTGCCTCAGTCTTCCAAGTAGCTGGAACCACAGGTGCACACCACCTTGCCTGGTTAATTTTTAAATTTATTGTAGAGACGAGGTCTTACCAGGTTGCCCAGTGTGGTCTCGAACCCATGGGCTCAGGCAATTCTCTCACCTCTGCCTCCCAAAGTGCTGGGATTACAGGCATGAGCCACCGCACCCAGTTTATAACATAAAATATACTGTTTAAGCCACTTAAAGTGTACGATCCAGTGACATTCAGTAATTGACAGTGTTGTGTAGACATTGCCACTATCTGGTTTTATAATTTTTCCATCACCCCAAATCGATACCTTGTACCCACGAGGCAGTCACACCAAACACATTACCTCATGTTTTACCTCACCTCACAATTCCCTTGCGCGTAGGAGTTTTCCATTTTATGCATCACGTCTACTCTTATTTTCCTTTATGGTTTTGTCTAGTTCTCCAAGGTTAGATTGTCCTGCCTTCGACAGAGAGTTGATGTTCAACTGTACTCCCTCCCAGTTTTCCTGCTTGGGGTTTTAATCAAATTTATTGTGGTATGATTTGTATACAATAAAATGCATCTATGTTAACAGTTCAACGAATCTTGATAAATGTCTGCACCTATGTAACCACCACCACCACCATAATATAAAAGTTTGCCATCACCTTTATCTTCCCCTCAACACCATCTCCTCCCATACTCAGTTCCAGGCAACCACCCATCTGCTCCTCATCAGGGTCAACTAGTTTTGCCTTCTCTGAAGTTTCATGCAAATGAGGTCTTACAGCACGTTCCCTCTTGTCTGACTTCCTTGTTCAGCATCTATTTTGAGATGCATCTATGTTACATGTAGCTCAGCAGCTCATTCCTTTTTGTCACTGACTCGTATTTCATCTGTTTTCACCTCATCTCATTTATCCATCACCAGGTGATGACCACTGGGCTGTTTGTTTTGAGGTATCATGAATAGAGCATCCGTGAACATTCATGCATGGATTTTTGTGCAGACATAGGTTTTCCTTCCTCTTTTTTTTTTTGTTTTGAGGTGGAGTTTCACTCTATCGCCCAGACTGGAGTGCAGTGGCCACTCCCGGTCACTGCAGCCTCGACCTGCTGGGCTCCGGTGATCCTTCCGCCTCAGCCTTTCAAGTAGCTGGAACTACAGGCATGCGCTACCAC